GATTCTTGTACTGACTCCACATCCTCCAACCCCTCCTTTCAGCACCTCTGTAGGCAGGCTTTGTAAAATGTGTGACACAGCAGTGCCTACTCACCAGGGTGGATTTGATTTAAATCAAACTGATTTAAATCACGATTTATATCACTAGTCAGTAAGGCTTGATTTAAATCCTAGTTTTCTACATAAAGACTAATTCTTGCTGGTATAACTTTAATATGCAAGTAGATGAAGATTTTTAGAATAACAACTTTTCATATTAGTTTTTTTATCCCCAGTTTAATAGGTTAATCATTCATATTTGGACAACTTTTCTGCTGTACTTAGGAAGGAGAAAAATAATCATTACCTTAATAATAACAATTTAAATAGATTTATTCAACTGAAACAATAACATTCCAGCATATGTGATTTGCTTAAACATCCATGTTTGTTAACTAATTTGGCTAAACAAAATATATATATTTTAAGAAACTTAGACTGTCAGCCCCTTCCTCCTCACACTTAGTTTCACTTTCTTCTTGTGCAGATCTATTCCACTCCAAACAATCAGAAAAATATTGTTTCTATTCTATTCACTGAACTTCTTGAAACTTAGCACTGAAGGGGTTGATTCTGTATTCATAGGTTTGTAGAAGTTAGGATGAAGGTCTTTTTCTTAACTCTGTTCATGTTATAACATTTTTGCTGTGAAGAAGAGGCATGTGATCTCCGCTGAGTCAAATTCAGTTTTGAGAACTGCAAAAGTAAACCGAGCATCTGTGATAATATCTTGTAGGCAGAGAAACTGCCCAATAATCTTACAAAAACCTCTGGAAGAGCATGACATTGTGAATGGATTCATGGAATTTATTTACCAAAAATATTAAACATTTACAGCCTTATTCTACATAATTAAAAAACTAATCTTTATTTCATGATGGAATTACCTTTGGATGGTAATATATTTTCCTCAAAAAGCATTTTATTCAAAAAAATCCGATTTTAAAATCAAAAAAATCCGATTTAAATCAAAAAAATCCGATTTAAATTAAAAAAAAAATCCGATTTTTTTTTTTTTTTTTTTTTTTTTTTTTTTTTTTTTTTTTTTTTTTTTAAAATCATTGATTTTTATCCACCCTGCTACTCACAGGACATAGTGTTTACGTGTCACAGGATTTAGGGAAGTAAGTGTGTGGGGATCTTCACAAAGCAAGTTTACAAACTTCAAGATCACTCGGGTTAATAGGTGTAGGCTGGAATAATTGAAATACAATGTGGAAATGAATATATGATTGTACATTTTGAGCATAGATACACTTTAACTGTTTGACACCCTTATTTTCTCAAAAAATATTATTTGTGCAGCTAGTGTTATTTCAAGGAGGTATAATATGTACAATATTTTTGTGAACTCACATTTCTAATAGTTTTATTACAAAATAATGCTACCATTAGTATTAGCAAAACAACACCACTTATAGAGCAGGCTAAATAACAGCTTTGAACAGTGAGCCTTTAGAGATACATACTATGTCATGTTCAGCTTCAAGAAAATAAAGACTGAACAATAGAAAAACAGCTAGTAAACTGAGCCTATTGATGAACTAATAATATTGTCTCTTCTCCAATGAGAAGGAAAACGTGATTTCATTTGTAGGTTGGAGTCAGGGAGAAATATTGCAAGGTTGCTCAGGTCTCACCACTAACCTGTGTCTGGAAGAGATTTTCCATGCATGACCAAAGACCACCTTTCTTCACCAGTGCTGTGACAAATTTGCCCAACGGTGGCCAACGTTTTCTCTTCAAGGTTTAAATTGTGGTTAACTTTTGCAGGCAGGTTCAGATGCTTAGATTTTCCTGTATGCTTCCTATAGATCTGCCATAGCAAGGTAGACATTGCAAATTATTTGCACTTCTGCACCTTTTTTTTTTTTTTTTGTGTTATCATTTACTTATCTGTAATTCATAAAAAGGAAACTGTAATGTGTTAATCCTATAGTACAAGGTAAATCCATGACACAAAGCAAATTAGTAGTTTACAGTTCTGACTCACTGACTTGTGTGTACATTTCAGCAGCTACTGAGCTCTGTAACCAGTAGGTTGTTTTTTTTTTTTAGCAAAGGAGAGAACTTGAAATGGGACTAAAAGCTCCACCTGCTGGTAGAATCTTAACCTACATGAATTCATATGCAATGTTACATATTTACCCAGCATGTTTTAGACCTGATCATAGTAAATAAATAACATTTATCCAGAACTTCTGAACATGCCAGTAAACGCCAAACTAGAATTTTGTGGTTTGTTAATGGCTGATGTCTTACATTAACCACTGAATTGTTTGCAAACCTTGAGAGTTACAGCAGCATAATTTGTTCACCAGTGTTCTCCGCTCCACCCACATGGGCTGTGAGTTAAATTCCAGCTTTGTATGGTGGCCTTAAGCTGTTAAGAAAGGCGCATTGGAAGAATTCTCTGTCAAAATCCCCAAAAGGTCTTTGAAGCTAGTCTGTACAGCCTGCCAAAATGTACCAAAATAGTAAAATATTTCAAATCTTTAACCCATTTAATTACCACAACCTGTGGAAGATTGCTCCCCTACAGTGCAGAAAAAACCTTTAATCCTTGTCCTCCTTTGACAAATACCTAGCAGATCTGTCTGCCATTATTGGGTTCAGTCAGCCCCCACTACGGATTGTAAAACAATCAGAGTGGTTCCCGATCATGTGATCAATATGTTACTGATTGTCCTGATGGCTTGCAGCAGGACGATGGCAGTGTTCCTCTTTTTAATACTACAACTATCAGATACAATTACAGTATAAAAATAATAGTGAATTAAATATAAACAAAACAATGTTTCCTTTTTTTACATATTTCAGCCTATAGTAAAAACAAAGCAGGGTTTTTATTAAAACCAATGTAACAAATAAGAAATAACAGCAAAATTATAAATATGATTCAGGTATGCAAATTAGCAAATGGAGTTTAGCTTGAGCGTCACTTCCACAGTGATCAGAATCTTTGCAGTGTCCTTGGTGTCCTCATCCTCCTCAGTCCGTACCACACTCTCTATGTATCATAATTAGGCAGAATGTTGAACTTGTCACATCTGTCGCTCAGCTGTCTTGATTCAGAGCTTACTGTGGGGTAAGATTAGTATTTTCGTGGCGCTTTACTCCTACTGAGTGAGGCACATTCACAGAATACACGGAACAGCATAAATGTAACTGTAACAAAATGACATTTTGTCGACAGGTGAAATTATTAGCTTTAAGCCTTTATTTGTATATTTTCAGAGAAAATGGTCTATTATCTGTATAGGCTTAAAAACTGTGAAGGTTTACTTACCTCTTAAGGGGTGAGTCCAATCAAAACTCATGTTTGAGTCTTTGGTAGATGCTGAAAAGTTATCCATCAGACAGATGAAGGCCTTGTTGATGCATGCTTTCCTCTCTGAAGAGCAATCTGCCTTTTGAACACTGTTCAGAGAGCATTTGACAGGCGGTGAGGAGGCTTTGTATCGCCTCCTCACTGTCTGCTTTAACCCCTTGAAACTCACACTAGCTCAAGACACGCAGTTGCAGGGTGCTTCCAGAGCAACCCCATTCACTTCAATGGGTCACGTTCGGTGGGTGCTAATTCCTACTGCAGCCACAAAGTGAGGATCACCAGTTTAAAATAAAGGAAGGAAATCCCATAAAAGAAACTAATGCAGCCATCACCTTTAAGAATTGGTAAACTGCATATAATAAATGTTTGCTTTTGGGGTTTATACTGCTTTAACCACTTCCCGACTGGCCGTTGCATATAAACGGCCGGACGGTGGCACTGCAGGGTCGGATGGCTGTTTATAAACGGCCTCCCGCACCCTGCTTGTGCGCGCTCCCTGGGAGCGCGCAGCACCGCGATCCAGTGCCCGCTGTGTCCTCCGGACACAGTGAAATACCGATCGTTGGACGGGACCTCTGTACGAGGTCCCGATCATGTGATCACTGATTGGCCAATCAGTGATCACATGCAAAGTAGTAAGCAAGATGTCACTTGTGACATCATTGCTTACTACGTGTGAAATCTGTGAATGATCACAGAGGTCACATGGTACAAGGCTATTCACAACAGCCTTGTACCATGTGACAAGCTGTGACCAATCACAGCTCACTCAGTATTTCTCAATGGCTGCAAGAATGCAGACAGAGAGAAAGAGAAATGATTGCTTTTACATCCTATATGGATGAATCAGTGTGAAAAAAAAAAAAAATCTTCATCACCCCCCACAAGTAGTACAGTGTCACCATGGTGACACTGTACTGCTAGGGTGACAGTATGTAAAAAAAAATAAAATAAATAAATAATATAAAAATGTAAAACAAAATGTTTAAAAATTATAATTTTTGGTTATAAACTAATTTGGATTTTTTTTTTTTTTACTAAAAAGATAACGGAATAAATTTTGGCCAAGATTTATGATGAAATATTATTTATTTGCAAAATTTTATAAAAAAAAAACAGTTTTTCATTTACATAGCAAAAAAAATAAAAATCCCAGCAGTGAATAAATACCACCAAAATAAAGCTTTATCTGTCTCAAAAAAATGGTAAAAAATTCATTTGGGTACAGTGTTGCATGACCGCGCAATTGTCATTCACAGTTTGATAGCGCTGAAAGCTGAAAATTGGCCTGGACAGGAAGGGGGTAAAAGTGTCCGGTCTGGAAGTAGTTAAGGGGACGGGAAGCAGTTCACATGCAGAGACACTGTCACTGTGTCCTGAAGGGTATTTTCTACTTTTTTCAAGAAGCAGCAGCCCATTAGACTCGTGAACCTGTGTAGATCAAGAGAGATCTCTGCACCCAGAACACCAAATAATATCTTTTTTGCAGAGTGTTAAAAAAATACAAATGACAGTTTTTTAAGGCTGCTAGAGGGCCAGAAGTTGCTTTTCCTTTTTGTAAATTTTTCCCTCTATTATGTTAATACATAGGCCATTGTTGGTTTGTAAAATGTACCACCTCTCTCTACAGTTCCAACACCAATGAGTTTGAAACCGCATTTGCAGATGAAGACGATGAGGAGTTGGTGCCAGCTTCTCAAGCAGCCAACAAAGAGGCACTGACAGCCGAGGCAGTGAGAAAGTTTATAGAAGATCACCCTGATTTACATAAACGTATCTTGCTCTACCAGCCTCTGGACCTGGCAGCCCTTCACTCCGAACTTAAACAGAATGGGATTAAGATAGCTGCTGGGAAGCTATTGGACTTTCTCGATGCGCACTGTATAACTTTTACAACTGCAACAACACGGAAAGAAAAGAAGAGTCGCGGAAGGAGGAAAGCAGGAAAACGATATTGAGTTGTTTTAAAGGGTCCGCCCTCCAAAAACCGATAGGTTAGCTATGGGTGGACACTTGTGTACCTAATCACCATTTTACTTCATATATATTTCTTAAGGGTTCCAGCGACCAGATCTCTGACCAAAGTCTCAATTCTTCTCTACATTTAATATAATGGAGAATTACTGCTGCTACAGTCATCTATATGTACACTGTAGTCATAAGCGCACAGACATGCCCCAAAGGAAACACAGTGAAAAATGTCAGCTGTCATCAGTAATGTAAAACCACTGCTGCCATAGTAAAACACATACGTGTATCCAGGAATATTGACAAGAGCCAGGCGCTGTGGAGTTTGTAATCATATAAAAAACACCTTATATGGAGGTGTGCCTTTAATAAAACATCACAGGGTAAATACGGTAAGTGCACAAGCCTGTGGATTTAAGACGCCAGGTATCCAGATGGACGAATAAATATATAACCTCCTCCACTTCAAACCCCTCAAAAAGTCATACTTTTCTCCCTAGAAAGTGCAATAATCATATAATATAACCTTTTTGTGATATAATAATACAATTAGACCCTAAAGTGTCATATAAAATCTCAGAAATCCCCAAAAAAGTGTCTTAAAGAAAAGTCCAGGTGTTCAAATAGGTCCCAGATTTGGACCTATTTGAACACTGGACTTTTCTTTGGACTTTTTTTTTGGGACACTTTTTTGGGGATTTCTGAGATTTTATATGACACTTTAGGGTCTAATTGTATTATTATATCACAAAAAGGTTATATTATATGATTATATCCAGATGGACGGCCCGTCCTCTCAAAGGGGTGCTGTGGAGGAGATGAACGCCTGTCAAGCAGGGACCACATGGTCACGACGTCCCGGCATCCTGGGTGACGTCACTGCTATTTCAGGGAGATGGAGGGGAGGAACCCACGCTGAAGCCGCAGCTTAGCAGAAGGAGGATGGTTGCTTGAAAAAGCGCAAGCGCGCGAAACATGTCCCGGCAACCGGCCTCCTCCTCCTAAGCGTTGGCTTCAGCGTGGGTTCCTCCCATCCGTCTCCCTGACAACGTGGTGACGTCACTCGGGACGTCGTGACCACGTGGTCCCTGCTTGACAGGCGTTCATCTCCTCCACAGCTTCCCTCTGAGCGGACGGGCCGTCCATCTGGATACCTGGCGTCTTAAAGCCACAGGCTTGTGCATTTACCGTATTTACCCTGTGATGTTTTTATTAAAGGCACACCTCCATATAAGGTGTTTTTATATGATTACAAACTCCACAGCGCCTGGCTCTTGTCAATAGTCATCTATATGTGTCTGTGGTACTCTTCATAATGTGAAATAAATGAAAAAATCCAAAAGAGAGAGGGAAACACTCTCATTATGGTTGTAGAAGGTGGGCGGAGCTTGAAACTCAAGTGCTGAGATTTTGCCGCAAAATCCCAGAGAGATATAAGGAATCAGTCAGATTAATTCAGTTCATCATCTAACCAGGAATTACAGTTTTAGGTAGACTGACATTTTAAGACAGAAGGGTTATTCCTTCAATGTAAATATATAATGTAATTGTCTATCAAACTCTGTAAATTAATTTTTAAGAAGAAAAAATGTGATGGCTGTTTTTTGTTTTGGATTTTATATGTAATAAATATGAATGTTAGAACAACTGGTTGTACTTCAGCAGAACACAAATATGATTTATTATTATTATTATTATAATACAGTACTTATATAGTGCCAATAGTTTGCTCAGCGCTGTACATTATAGTGGGAGACAGTACAGTAACAATACCATACGATACACGAGGGGTTCGAGGGCCCTGCTCCTTGGATCAATGAACCTTTAAAGTGTATGTCTGTAATCTCAGCAGTACTACGTATTTCCCCATGTTTTTGTCTTAAAGCGGAATTTCACCCAAAAGGAGTAGATCTGCCTTTAAATAAATCACAAAAATCACTTGTATGATTTATTTATAATATTTATATTATTAGCTTAGCTCTACACTTTTTCTTTTCAAATTGTCCTTTTATTAAAAATCAGCAGCTACAATATTTGTAGCTGCTGACGTTTACTTCTTTTTTTTCCCAGACTGAACAACCACTTTAAAACCCCTACAGAAAAATGCATATTAATCTGTAAGAAATGCAGTTCTTTACTTCCTGTGTGAGCTGAAATGCTGCCTCTGCTGCACTAAAATTCCAAGCAGTGTTGCCAGCCCTGCCCAGGTCACTACTGTTAGACTACAGATCACCGCCCCATCTCCTCATCTCCATAAGATAGGTAGGTGCTATGTGGTGCGACAGGGTTAACAACTAGGATTTTAATGCATCAGTTAATAGCCTACTACAGGAAGTTAGGCGCATACTGGAATTCTGGCATATCCAGGTATTAATATGTAGTTGCAGCATTTAAAACATGGGAAAATGTTCATGTATTGCGGAGATGCACCCAATAAACCTTTATTTTACCCAGATCTTATTTAGCTTTAAGTCTTAGGGGATGATTATCAGGGGATACAGTGTATGACTGTCCTTGGGTGCCTGAGCCAAACCATTCTGGTCTCTTGTAAATTAGGTTGTGCTCACAATAAATTATGTACAGCATTTTCCTTGAAATTCCTAATTCCTTTCTATGTTTCTATTTTGGTGTCTAGAAGCCTTGTTAGAATGATTGGAAAAAAAAAATAAACTGCCACTTTTTTTAAATTCAGATTTAGCTTCCTGTCAAACATTTTTGTATAACGGGAACAGAGTTTAAATTTCTCACCAAGTGATGTGCAGTTTTCTTTTAACAGCTATGCTGACATTATCCAAGATTATATTTAGTATTCTTGAAGGGAATTAAAGGACAGGAAGTCAGCCATGGGTAGGAAAATGTCTCATTTTTTAAAAAAGAACTTTATCTCAGTTATTTCCCGTTCTGGTAAATTCCTAAAACCTATATATTTGATAACATGAAAACGTTATCATTAAGCCCTGGTTCACACTGATGTGATTTTGGATGCGTTCCAGTAAGTATGGCAAGTGTACAATCCAAACGCACATGTTCCTGCATTAAAAATGGCTGTGTGTAAGTGGGTGCTGCAGCAGCAATCGTCGGCTGGAACCGAACAGAATCCGCAAGGGATATTGTCACCAGCACACCGAGGAACACCAATATGGGTCCAAAAGTTTTAATGAACAATCACATAGTTTCACATGTCTCGCAGGACACCTTCATCAGGCATGTGACCTGATTAAGGGGTCCTGCGAGACTCCGAAACATTGCCTTGCTGTAACTATGTGATCGTTCATTAAAACTTTTGGACCCATATTGGTGATCCTCGCTGTGCTGGTGACAATCTCCCTACCAGTAAGTATGGCATCACATGACAAGTGAAAGAACATGAGTTTCTATGGAAGCTGTTCACATATACAGTACGGTTTCAAATCTGATGTGATTTGAAAAAGGGTGCTGTGCAAGTTTAATGCGCTGCGATTTGTAACTCCAAAGACTTGGAAGCTGCATGCTATGGGCTCTAGGAGATTCCAGTACCAACTCGCACTGGCGCTGCTCCTGAAATCGCACTAAGAAATGAATTTAACTAGCACCGCGTTAGTATGAACCTAAGCTTAAAGAGAATCTGAAATCCAACAATGAGAGCCCCCATATTTTTATGATAATCTGTATTTTAATCTTGGCTTGGAAAGAGCATTATCTTCAGCAAGCATCTGCAAAGCATTTACCATGTTTTGTGGAGTACTGTTGAAGCCTATAAAACAACCCTTTGAATACTTTTTTTCCATGAGTCTTCAGTCTGATTGATTTGCCACAGTCTTGATGTGTGGGTACTCTTCTGTACTTGCTGGTGTTTGGGTTCTGAATGCTGCAGAAAAGCCTGACCCTAACAGCACTCTCCTGTGAGCCCATTGAAAGCTTGAAGATGTACCCACAACAGGCAGGTCCTTCATTCACACCTTGGGCTCACAGGATGAGGGTTAAATGCTATGGGGCCATTCAAAACAGAAGAAAGACTGCTGAACCTCCGAGCAGTGAGTCTGTAGGGCCACAGCACTATTGCAATGAAAGGGCTCCTGTACACTGCAGCTGCTAAACTAACGTTCAGGAGCTTTTCTGCGTTTTTGTCAGCAGCCCCTGAACTCTCCGTAACGTTCTCCTATGTGTCCATGTACACATCGTCGTTTACAGTAATTTTTTGGTACGGACCAAACTTGCGTTCAGGAGTAGATTTTATCAGCGTTTCAAACGCTTGTAAACGCGGCTAACCACGTTTATAAGCGTTTGCGTTTCGAAGCATTTTTTTTTACTTCCATATCCAGATGATGTCCAGAGCCTTTATTCATCATCAGAAATGCATGCAAAGCGATTTCCATTTATTCAAATGGACCCGGTACACCAGCGCAGTCAGTTCCAGGTTCTGCGTGAAGGAACAAATGGTGTGAACCTAGGGTTAGGGCTGACATGCATCCTTTGTTGCTAGGATGCATGTAGCTCGAGTTTAACAGTCTGGCAACCAATTGTACCCATTTGCACTGTACAGATGTATGCATGTAAACATTACGGAAACATTTACTGTGACAACATTTTCACGCAGGATCTTGCTACCATGCCCTGGCAGCAGGATATAGCATTGATGGGCATATTTTAATGATGCCAATTTGCATCAGCCCTAATCCTATCAACTACCATTTAATAAAGATGAACAAAGGCAGGCATAGTCCAGTTTGCTATGACAACCGTGTTCATGAATACAGTGGAGGAGTAAGGCCCCTTTCACATGGGCACTGTCAGCCAGTTGAGGTGAGGGCTGGGCAACCCTTTACCCCATTTCCGTGGCTGCCTGCCACTGTACTCCAAGAGGTCAATGGGCCACACCACAACTACATCCAATGGATGCAGTTGCAGCAGGGTGAAGTAGGATTTTAGAGTGAGTTCCTTCTTCAAGCAAGTGTTCAGGAGATGGCATTCCCTCCAAATAGCCTACTAACTGTGGGCCAGCCTCTGCTGA